TTTTTTTTTTTTTTGTCGAATGAAAGCGCGGAATAGAGTTGCACGACGGACGTGCCACGTGACTACCGTGTCGGCCAATGGTGGCCAGGGATTTGCTTACCTGGAATTTCAAAAGTTTACTTTTTCTACTTGGAGTGATCAAAACGAATTACGTGTTTGCATTCGTCCGCCCGATGCAGTGCCTGGTCCTACGTTACGTGCGGCGGGAACGACACGCGGGACAAGTCTACTGAGCTTCAGTGGGTGAGACGCGTCACCTCCCGACAGACGAGATCGAGAGATACGCAACACTCTCCACACATCCCTTACAATGTGCCTTCGCATCAAACTCGAGAATGTAATGTTAAAAATTCATCCAAAAATTAATTATTTAACGAAGGAGTCGTTTCTCAAATAAGCGACAAGTGCTTCGGAATTGCAAGAATCGAATTAAATTTCCCAGATATAAAAATGATGCTGTCATTTTTATTAATTCTGCCTGAAAAATCGAGAAGCAAAATTTAAATTTCGAAAAATTGTAAAAATCCTGCCGACAGATGGTGTTAGTCACCCACTTCGGCTCGAATTAGGTTCATTTATAATGAAATGCTATCTTAGATAATTTTTCATTTTTTAAATGTAGGTTAATATTTTATAACATTTACATCTTATAAATTAACAAACCTGACTCCGATTCTTTCAGCATTATTTATAAGCCGAATACAGTCTTCCTCCATTTTACAAAACATGTAAATGAATTAATCATGTATTCCCTTATACTAGAAAATTATTAACAGCGCACACTATCGTGAATATATTCATGTTAAAAGTATAAATGCGTGGTATATTCTTAAATTACTTTGCCACACAATATTTTTTGGCAATTTAATTCTTTCAATTATTTATCATTCCCTGGTATGATTAAAACCCAACTGTATACTGTAAATACTTGGCAAATATAATTAATAAAACATAATTAACTCAATGCATATACATATATTCAAAGAATAATGCATTTTTCTTCATATTCCATACTTTTACTTAATTTCCATACAAAAGTGTAAATTGCATCTTAATTAACATTTAAAGTAAATCATATCTAATCCTTTAATATATTTTGCCACTATTGCAGACGTTAAATAATAAAAAAAAACTAAGACAGAATCTGAGATAATAAATCTTTTCGTAATTCAATATTGCGAAATTCTTAAGATTCTTTTGTAACTGCAACATATATTTTTTTCTACAAAAAACTTCTATAAATGAATTCTAATTAACTAAGTTAATTAATCAATATAAAAGATATTTAATTTTATACTTTAATTAGATAAATTAAAATTATTTATTCAAAAATATATATATAGATACTGATATACTGTTTATACAGGGGGGGGTGCAAAATTAAGTATACAATTGTCATTATGGAAAAAACATACAGGGAGAAAATAGGAAGGGGGAAAAAAACATTTATTTTTATGTACAAATTAAATCATAAATAAAGAATAAGAATTAATAAAAGATAATACAAATGTTTGATGTTAATTATTATTATTTTTATTTCAGATTCTCAAGTATATACCTACTTTTGCACTACCCTGTATATAAATTTTACTCTGTTTCTGCCAGATATTGAGTGTTTAAAAGCCTTCAGTATCTGCCAGAAACTTAAGATTTATCTATTTATTCACCAAGAAACATTGAATATTAATTATAATAATATTCATTATAATTACACAATATATTTTAATGACTTTAACTTTTCATTAAAGTCTAACTAATTTGGCATATAATCTCATCTAATTTAATATTATCTCATTAATACTTTATAAATTAATTTATATTTATTAAAAAAAACTATAATAATAAACAATTTTTTTTAACTGCAAGGTTTACTAAATTTGACAAACTAAAAGCCAAGCTTTACCATACCTGATGTATGTATTCAACACAACACTAATAGAAAATGAGTTTAGTACTTACATAAATATATTTTCGCTTAATATTAAGTATGCATTTAGTTATATATTTTATCTTATAGAAAAAAATTAATTACCTGATTTACTTGAATTGTGTTATTCAAAGATGTAGCAGAAGCGAAGGAAAATATCCTACCTTTCGCTTTGATTCTCCAATTATAAAGTTTTGGTTAGTAATCTTTGATGTTGGAAGCCCTTCGGTATCGACAAACAAAGACATAAATAATTCCATAACATTCTAATAAAGAAATTCGGAATCTATTCCTTTGGTAGGAACTTCGTCGTCATCTTCACGATCCGCCATGTTAGTTTCTTGACTGAATGATAACGGCGCCACCTATCGGTCAATTCTTATGATTGATATTGACGTCACGCAGAAAAACAAATTACGTATCTCGATATGTATTTTCAGTTTAATTTATGTAAAATGTTAAATCGATTGTCATAATTACGATTTATTATTCATAATTTTATTCAAATAAATTAAATCAGCGATAAATTTTGTATTTGTTACTTTATTATTTTAAAATTATCGCAAAATAGATCGAAGAACTTACCCGCGGATATACTGGAAGAGCACTTTAAAGAGACGTGAATCGTGGTTAAAAATACAAAACTTTTGTTAAATTTGCAATTACATTTATATTTTAATTTGTTTTCTAATTATTTCTCCTTTACTAAATCCCCAGTCATAANTATGCATTTAGTTATATATTTTATCTTATAGAAAAAAATTAATTACCTGATTTACTTGAATTGTGTTATTCAAAGATGTAGCAGAAGCGAAGGAAAATATCCTACCTTTCGCTTTGATTCTCCAATTATAAAGTTTTGGTTAGTAATCTTTGATGTTGGAAGCCCTTCGGTATCGACAAACAAAGACATAAATAATTCCATAACATTCTAATAAAGAAATTCGGAATCTATTCCTTTGGTAGGAACTTCGTCGTCATCTTCACGATCCGCCATGTTAGTTTCTTGACTGAATGATAACGGCGCCACCTATCGGTCAATTCTTATGATTGATATTGACGTCACGCAGAAAAACAAATTACGTATCTCGATATGTATTTTCAGTTTAATTTATGTAAAATGTTAAATCGATTGTCATAATTACGATTTATTATTCATAATTTTATTCAAATAAATTAAATCAGCGATAAATTTTGTATTTGTTACTTTATTATTTTAAAATTATCGCAAAATAGATCGAAGAACTTACCCGCGGATATACTGGAAGAGCACTTTAAAGAGACGTGAATCGTGGTTAAAAATACAAAACTTTTGTTAAATTTGCAATTACATTTATATTTTAATTTGTTTTCTAATTATTTCTCCTTTACTAAATCCCCAGTCATAAACAAAATAAAGTTATTAACCTCAAAAATTATATAAAAATAAAAAAAATAGATGAATCACAATGTTTAAATTTAAATTTTTTTATTTTATTATCTTCATTTAAATTCAGTAAATGGGCCAAACTTGAGTATTATAAATGCCTATTCTTGTTTAAAATATCGAACCGGTTATTCAAGTAGTTTTATCATACCTGCAATTATAGAACCTCATTAATATAATATATAATTTTTGAATAAATAGTTTCAAAAATGACATTAATAATTATTTATTTTTAATGTTTTATTTTCTTCAAATGTGTTTTTTATTATACGTATTTCTAGAAAATATATTTTAAAAAAGTAATTACAAATTATCATAGTTTTAATAGAAAAAATAGCTGCAATTATCATAAGTAAACGTTAAAAGTTCAGAATTAAACTTTATCTTAGAGTCCAAAAAAATTATTTACATATATTTTTGAAAAAGTACACATTTTAGATATATTATTTATAATGTACAGAAATAATACAAAAAATAAATAAATTCTTTGAATAATAATTGTATTGTTGACGTTAAAAATATTGAATTTTTTTGTATCTGATGTATTTTTGTAAACAATAAAAAGTCATGGGATATAATTTTATTAAGACAACAAACTGCAAATAATATTAAAGAAAGTTTATTCTAGAATAAAAAAAAAATGGACCTTTGGGGTTTCAACGAACCAAGAATTTGTATGAACTGCAAATTGTGTGAAGAATACTCAAATCCTTCGGGGAATTGAACAAACGGTGCGTGGAGAATCATTCGAATTCTTCAAGAATGTATGAAATCATTACTTTAATTATGAATTAAATATACCTCTTGATTTCTAGAACCTATATATACGAGTTGCCATTAAGTAACTTCAATTTATTTAATTTTGTTTATGTATATTTTACTAGTTAAACCGAGCCGTAATACTGCCATTTATAGTATAGCCTGTTAAAAATTACTTAATTTATTGGATTCATAATGGGAAAAATTTTTAATTATTCCATTAATTTATTAAATTTATGTTTTAAAAATGAAATTTTATGGCATTTTACATGACAAAATGCCTAAATTGATTAATATTCCAACACGAATTTTTGTTTTCGTGTCAATATTTTATCAAAGTTTGCAATATTCGTGTCAAGTTTTTGCACATCCAAAGAATTGTTCGTTTACTTGTGTTCAACTAAAACTGCTTATATTAATAATTCTCGTCAATGTTGCACTCCTCGGTCATTGTAATTTCGAATCTACTGCGTGACACACGAATGCAGCAACTTTCATCACGCAAAAACCTTCTTTTGTGTAAGATTACAAATGTAAAAAGTTTACTATCCACATCAGAATCATTCGAGTGTTTCCTAGTAAATTTACTTGTAATGATAATTTTTAATATATATATTTAGTTTTGAAAAATCACAATTATAAAATGTCCTTACGAACGTTAATATAGAGTTACTCTATAATCAGACAGCTAATTACACAAATACAGTATATACATGTGTATGTATATCTACCAGTATAGTAAACTTAAATGTATTATCTATACAGCCTATACTATTTACAGTACGTTTACTTAATTTGTCTTTTATTTTTACAAAACAAAGATATAACCATATACATATTCCACATGTATAATTTATATATATTAATGATGGTAATAATCATAATTTATCATCTAAATTCTCTTCCACACTATATAAATTCTATACATAGACATCCTATGTGTTTCATATACATAATTTTTAACATATAGTCTATATTAATTAAATATTAACTAATTTAAAAATAATTTTTTAATGAATATACATTCAAAAAAAATAATTTTTACGCATAATTATAATTGGAATTTAAAAAAAGAGAAATTGTTATGAAGTTTGAATAATTAATTTTACAAGTTCATAAAAATAAATACAATACTTTAATTACGTTACAAATAATTTTCACTTAAATTATATTTAATTTGAAATAAAAAATAATTCTTTATAATAAGTTATATAGAATTAATTAAATGTTTAGAAAATTAACAAAAAATAAATAAATAAATGCTCACTCTGTCTAATTCTTTATCATCAACATTTAACTATGTTTCGAGATATAAATGATTCAAAGTCTTACTTAATATTAAATTAGTACAGAAATTTTAGAGTAAATTTCTAGTAAAATATATATAAAGTAGAGAAATTTTTATGAAAACTTTGATTAAGATGTATTACTCTCATCAAATTAAATCAGTTAAAATTAGTTTAGGATCGAATCATTTATCATTCGACTTTCTTTAACAAGAGAATTGTTTAGAAATAAAACTAATCATTGTATTAATATAAGTGTAGGGAAAGTATTGGATACTGTATCTTGTTCTTGTGTTACAAGAATACACATCTGTGTAAATGCATATGGAAAAGTAACCAATATAATTACCAAGACAGGTTAAAGCTGGATAATGTAAAAGGATATAAGGTTCAGTTAGGAAAGTTGGTAATTTGATTTGTGCAACAACTTTCATTATTTAACTGTGGTATAATCTTATCCAAAACGTCTTCAACTATTTGCTTCGTTCATATTTTATCCACAGCTAACAAATCTGTCACGGGTTATGTTTATTCGTATACTTTGTAAAGTGTGCCATGTATTGACCTGTACAACTTTAACCGAATAAACTGTATTTATTTTCTATTTAAATTACTTTTCTTGCATGATAAATGAGTGTATTTATTTACATTAAGCAGTACTTTATAAATTATAATCTTTCACTTACGAAGAATTAATTTTTCTAATATTTTAAAAGATCTTTGATTTATTTTTATATATTACTAATTTTTAGTTTTATTTTAATTTTTATTATTATCTTTATTTTTATGAATACACTGATTATAATTTTATTTTGTTTATATTGCTTTCTATGGCGAATAATTCTTGATGTATACAACTTCGTAAACAGACAAATATATTTATAAATTGTGCATAATACATTATTCAGATTGTTTTCTGTAATAATTCAGTTGTACAGCGTAACAGGCAGACAAATTTTTTGTAGATAAATGAATTTATTTATTTACATCATGCAGTACTTTTGTGAATTTTCTACTTGTAAATGTTATTAAAAATTCTCTGTAATTCAATCTTATATACTGTATTACTAAATTTTATTATTATTATTATACGATGTATAATTTTATTATTTATTACGATAAATAATTTTTATCCATATAGCGTAACAAACAGACAAATGTAATAGTGTAGTGCGCATTATACTTATGCCTTTTATATTATACCGCATTATAACTATTTATGCCCTTTTTTACAACGAGTAATTCTAGATATAGGATTTTCAGTGCGATTGGCAGAGAAGTATTGTTAATTGCACATAGAGACTGTTTTCTACAAAGAATAATTTAGATATATGTATAGTACATCGTAACGTACAGACAATTTTTTTTGTATGATAAATACGTGCGTTTATTTACATTACGCAGTATTTTTTCTATATTCCATTTAGAAAAAATTAATTTTTATAACCCTATAAAGGAAGATAACTATTTATAAAATTATTAATGTATTTAAAACTAAAGTTTTATTTTAATTATTATTGTTATCATCACCATCATCATCACTGTACCGATTGTAATTTCATTTTTATTACTTTGATTTTTATTCGAAATTACTCGAATTAAATTATTTGAATTATCTAAAAGTAATTTGAATATATTCATGTGAAATTACAAATTTTTAATTTTTATTTTTTCTTATTTTAATTTTCCAAAAAATTGTGCACTTTTTTTTACAATTATTAGAAATTTAATAAGTTGATTTAAAATTAGAATTTTTAAACAAATATTTTATATATAATTTTATTTTGTTTTCTTTAATAATATTTTTATATTTTCAAAATGACAAAAAAAGTAACTTTTTAGATAAAATATAAGTGCCAAAAAAATTTTTGGAGCGAGATGAAACACAAAAATGTCGCTGAAATG